GTGTTTGTGTGTGTGTGTGTGTGTGTGCGCGCGTGTGTGTGTGTGTGTGTAGGAGATGCTGTTAATCATGAAGTCAATCTACGACATGATGGGCAGGTATACCTACCCCAGTGTGCGAGATGAAGCTCCATCTGAACATGTGGAAAAGTTCTTCCAGGTACCAGCACATTTAACAATATGAAGACAATATAAAATCAATGCACACGATCTTACCAGAGCCTTAAGATCTTTTAATGCTTACTACATTTTCTTATAGAAAATGGACAGAAATCGAGATGGTGTGGTCACTATTGAGGAGTTTATTGAGACCTGTCAGAAAGTAAGTTGAAATTAGTATTTTGGTGTAAATGGTTTAAAAATCATTTATACATAAATTATTGCATTCAGTTCAATGTAAAACTGTACATGAATTGTTTGTAAAAACATTCTTTAAATTATCATATTCAATTCGAAGTGAAAATTGCGTAAGTAGTTAATAAACCAATGTTATGTTAATGATCACTTTTAATGTGAAAATATATGTAAATTACTTGTAAAACACATGTAAATGATTGCATTATGTTAAAAACAAAGTTTTACATAAATTTGTATAACTATTTTTAAGTAAATTTTGACCCTGGACAACAAAACCAGTCTTAAGTCGCTGGGGTATATTTGTAGCAATAGCCAAAAATACATTGCATGGGTCAAAATTATAGATTTTTCTTTTATGCCAAAAATCATTAGGACATTAAGTAAAGATCTTGTTCCATGAAGATATTTTGTAAATTTCCTACTCTAAATATATTAAAACTTAATTTTTGATTAGTAATATGCATTGCTATGAACTTCATTTGGACAACTTTAAAGGCGATTTTCTCAATATTTTGATTTTTTTGCACCCTCAGATTCCAGATTTTCAAATAGTTGTATCTCGGCCAAATATTGTCCTATCCTAACAAACCATACATCAATGGAAAGATTATTTATTCAGCTTTCAGATGATGTATAAATCTCAATTGTGCGTGCGTGTGTCTTATGACTGGTTTTGTTGTCCAGGGTCACAATTATTAAATTGAATTCAATTAAAAAGATATGTTAATAGTTTGTATAACCATTGTTACATAAATTATCGCTTACAACGGGAAAATTTACCTGAATTCTTCTTAAAATCACTCTCTTCTGTAAATCATTACATTCAGTTCAATGTAAAAATGTAAATAAATCATTTGTGAAACCATTTTCATGAAAATTATCACATTCAATTCAATGTCCAAATTACATAAATACTAATACAACCTTTCTTATGTAAATGATCTCATTCAGTCTAATGTGAGAATTTACGTATATTACTTGTAAATCTCTACTTATGTAAATGTTTTTATGTAAATTGTATAGCCATTTTTAAATTATCACTTTCAATTCAATGCAAAAAATGTATGACAATAGTCTGTAAAACCATAAATTAATGCAATAATTTCAATGCAAAATTTACATAATTCATAAAACCATTTTTACATAAAATACTGCATTCATTTCAATGCTGTTCATGTTCCTAAAATCATTACTATTTAGATCATATTCAGTGCAAAAATTTATGAAAAAATAATTTTAATAAAATTACTTAAAAACATTCAGTTCAATGTAAAAAAAAAATGTGTGTATGGTTCGTAAAACGTTTGACATCATTGACGTCATACCATATTTGAACTGAACATGACCGTGAATGAGATTTGAAAACTAAGCGAATGAGAATGAAATTTGATGACTAGAAGCAAACTGTCACTTTAAGGTTGATGCCGACTATTTCAAACTGTCATAATTGATTCTTCTTCTGCTTTCCAGGATGAAAACATCATGAACTCCATGCAGCTCTTTGAAAATGTGATATAGGACGGGAGTGGAATGATCCAAAGCTAAAACAGCCCTCAAAGCCCCAATCCAGTTCTCTCCATGTCTATATACCAAACTAGCACAGCAATCACTCTCTGTCTTGTCCTGTAGCACTACTCCCATGCCTGCTGCACTCCGTAGAATCGTATAGACCAACACATAGCCTAAAGTATGGCGTCACAGTTTGTACTTCACAGCAGGACTACTTTTAAAAAGAAAAGCCTGGACGGCTGGGATCCTTCCAGTTGCTAAATACCGGCAACCGTGTGGTGGAACTTTCTGATCAGAATGAACAAATGAAGTAGCAAAGCCACGTTTTGTATCACTGGTTGATGGATTCCAATGGGCTCTCTAACATCCAGATAAAAACCATCACCACTCTGGACTGCTATCTTCTGCCTTCTGATTATGAATGAGGGAGATTACAAGACTCAATCTCAACCTTCCAGATACCATAGTTTGAACGAGAGTACAGTAACTATGGATTTCAGGGGATCCAAAGGAAGGTCCAGCACCAATGACGATTGAAGCACACCAGAGACTACACGTAAAAGTCACCAAAAGAACAAAATAAATGTGATGAAAACCGACCTGAAGCATGCCTGTCCAAATATGTGAGATATTTGTGATTTTCTTGCATGGAGACTGACAAAGTTGTAAATTTTCTTCCTTGTAAGCCAGTAGGTCCCACAGAAGACTGTAAGCAAACTAAAGCAACTGTATGCGTGAAGTTACATAGTGTACCAGTGTTTATTAGTTCTGCTCAAACCTGTATTGCACATATCAGTGGGGCCAGGGTGATTTGTTTGGTCACATTTGATTCTTGCAGAGCAATGAGGTATATTAAAAGTTATATTTACACTATAGGCATTTTAGAAGTATAGAAGTATGTGTTTTATTTTCAGAAATGTATTTATTTGTCAGGCGGCATCTAATGGAATGCAGGGTTTGGCCATGAACGGACATTTCCAGATTATTAAAAGTGTGGTTTACAAGTTTTATTATGCTCATTAAAAAAATAATTTGGATTTATATATATATCAGGGCTGTACAGTGCGACATATATGTCGCACGTGCTACGAAAAAACTGGTCTGTGCGATGAATAAATTTACCACTGTAGCACGCGTGCGATACAGTTTTGCATGTTCATAACACAGACGCTTAATAGTGTGAAGTGATTTCGTTGTGCTTGTTTGTGTGTGTGAGATTGATTATACTTGGTAGTTAGAGGTGTGCATACTGAGCATTTTTCAGTTTTTCTTTTTTAATAAATCTGCAAAGATGTCAACAATTCTGTGTTTTTCTGTCAATATGGGGTGCTGTGTGTACATTAATGAGGAAAAAAAATTAACTTAAATGATTTTAGCAAATGGCTGCAATATAACAAAGAGTGAAAAATTTAAGGGGGTCTGAATACTTTCCGTACCCACTGTATATATATATAAAACAGACTGAGATATATACTGTACGAGAGGCTCGTTTATCCTTCTTTTTTACTTTTGCCCACATATTGCTTTGTAAATGTTACATGTTATTTCATCAAGTACAGTATACAATGAGCAAACATGGGAATCTCCTTCTTATATGACAATTGTACCATCAGGAATATGGATAGCTTTTACTCTTACGCAACAATCCCCTTCTATTTGGGGATGGTGAGAAATTATTGCTCACCTAGGAACAAATACTATGATGAAGGTGAAGTTATAGTAAAGGTTCAAAGTTAAAAGTCTGATTTCAGTTCACTTTCAGTAGCAACACCTAAATTACTTAAAAGCTCTTATTTATTTATTCTTTGTTTGTTTGGTTGGAGCAGAAAGCTTAATGTCCAACAAATAAAAGATGCACTACTCTTGATCAAAACCAGTGTTTCTGTTAATGTTACTGATGCTTTTAATGACAGTCTCACTTCAAAAGAAAGACAGGGAACGTGTGTGTCGTGTAGCCAATTACAGTGAGTTATTTTACTGTAAAACAGTGGTTCGCAACCAGCGTGGTGGGGCCCACTATTAATTTTACATTTAAATGTAGACTTTAAATTTTAAATGTAAACTTTAAAATGAAAATGAAAACAGAAAATACTATAATATAAAAAATAAAACAATCTAATTCAAAATATTAACAAAAACTACAATTGTATATCAGTAATATTAAAATAACACTGCTTAAAAGTATTTAAAATAAATTGTTAATATTACTGATATATCACTAATATTGTAATATTAAGATCTTCGAATATTATGCTGGAAGTTTGAGAGTCACTGATCTTCAGTAAGTGCTTTACTTGAAACAGGCCACTCTTATCAGACCTTCAGTCTGTCTGTCTCTGTGTGTGTGTGTGTGTGTGTGTGTGTGTGCGCGTGCGTGCGTGCGTGCGTGTGTGCGTGTGTGTGTGTGTTTGCACGTGTAAATAGAGATCAGAAAGGTGCCAGTTATTAAATCCCATGCATGACAATAATACAAACTGAACGCAAGCAGGAAAAGGGAGAAAGATTTGCACCTTAACACAGTGATCTGAAACTAAATATCTGTGGGTATGACTGTGAATGTGTTTACACAGAATAGAATTTCCTTACAGAAATACTTATCCCCATCTGCTATGCTTATGGAAGTCTGTGTGTGATCCGGTTCATGCTGGAGACACGTCTACATTTTGTCTGCTTTGGGTGTCTGACTGTGGAATATAATCTTTTTCTATACTTTTCACCCTCCTTTCATATATCGTTTCTATTGGTTGCTCATCTTCACGTTTCCCATAATATCTTTAATCTCTCATTTCTATTTTATCATAGCTTCTATGTGATTCCTTGAAATGTCAACAAAAAGAAGACAATATTACATGTCAAATCTGAGTGAGGCCCATAGCCCCACTAACCTACATCCATCAATTAGCACAATAGATTAGCTACTGATTCAGGCCATGAGCAGGAAGAAGAGAAGTCAACACTGTCTAGTTCTTGTTAGTGCATTATGAAAGCACTATAGCTAACTGGGATTATTTCCCCCATCTGTTCAGGTCTTCCTTCTCCTGCTGCTATTTGCAGGAGTGACATCACTTCCTGTGTGTGCATTTCTGACCAAAAATACATGTATTGATTCATGCCATTTATAGCTTAAGTGCAAATATTAAATTACGGAAGACACAATCGACATATATAATAATTCAAGAAAATCATTTGAATTTTAAGGTAGAAGTTTAGACAATGTAGAAATACTGCATATTTCTATAAAATGAACAGTAAATACACATACAATAATGTTTAAACTGAAAAAACTAAATTAAATATAATTTTAACAAATAACTTATTGACTATAAATGTATTTGCACTATATGTATAAGCCCAGGAGGTATTAGGATAAGCCATCAAACATGATCACACAGCTTGGATTATACATTGTGTACTAAACATGGGTAAACACTTGCTTCTTTTTTCCATAAAGCACTAATTTTTAGGCTTAGCAGTCAACACAAGTCAAGCATTACCCCTCCAGTCATTAAAACTGAGAAAAGTTCATTCAAGTAAAGTGGCGATGCTTCAGACACTTTTCCTCATTCCTTGTTCTTCTTCCCTGCTGCTTAAAACAAATAATAAAATAAACAATAAAACTTTTTTTGTCTGTGGTAATTAACTGTTTAGCTGTCCTGAAAAAAAAATAACACTCTTTTGACTCTTTGCTAACCAAATTTTATACGTTTATAACCTATTAACACCACTAGGGGGAGTACAGTCATATTGAAGGTACAGTAAACATTTTTAGAGAACACATAGCCTCCCTTTGTGTGCATATTTCGAGAACGTCCATGTTTAAGTAGAAGTAATTTCTAAATAGTAGAAACTGCATGTAGACAGTCCCTTGAATATTTTCATTTCTAGTGTAAATCTGCTCTGTTACCACCAATAATAAATTTAACCAATAAGCTATAGTAATAAAAGTGGCTACAAGTTTCTTTATTCAGTGCTGTTATTCACATGTTCAGTCATCTGTCCAATCACTGGTGTTCTGCTCTCTCTTAAAACCTTCGTTGAAAGCTTAGCAAAAACCCTAAATGTAACATATAATGAAATACACAACAAACTCTTCTTCTTCTACATCTTCAGTGGCCCTCTGTTATAATCACTCAGCGACCTCCCTGTATATATAATTTGCTTTGTTATGATGATGTTTGGTAATGATTATGTTGTTATTTTTATTCAATCCTGTTGGAAATGTACTTGTATTTCCCTGAATGGCCTGTGTTCTTTTAAAGTTTAACCCAGTTTGGTAATGCACTGGTCAAAAAAAAATGTACTAAAATAGCACATGCTTAAATTAAAACCTGCTTTTCCAAGCTTACAGTTCTCACTGTTTTGTCATGTGGAGAGTGCAGCTCGGATCATTGGTGTTACGTCATCATGTAATGGTTACCGAATGTAGGTCAATTAAGTAATGACGCAGTTCCGCCTGAAGACCGGAAGGGGGCGCCCACGAATGGCCCCTTTCGTGAGACTGAGGGCGGCTAAAAAGCTTTTTATTTAAATATTATCATTTTAAAATTATTTTAGAGGTGAGCTTATTTAATTTAGATATATTTTCATGTGTTTTCCGTCTCTTTCCTCAACCTCTAACTTTGTTGGTTGTTCTTTGTATAATTGTATATTGTTTGTTGTAAATATGTCTGTTCAATGCTTTCAAAAAAATAAAAAAAATAAAAAAGGGACTGGCGGCGCCATTTTTACTGTTAAAAGCAAATCGGAGGAAATGGGAGTCCTGTGAGGCAGATAGGGGGCGTGTAAAGGAGGTAGCATTGAGCAGGCTTATGGAATCACAGGGGCAGGCACGACACCGGCAAAAGAGATGACTGAGTGTTGCGTCTTCGCCTGTGAACAATTCTATTGGCCGAGAGTCATCAGAAGGCGGGGCTTATAAGCGTTTCGACCTCAGGGTTTGTTTTGAGCATGCGTTGAAATGCCACAGTGCCCGTGTGCCGTCTGTATATCCGTGTGTCGCTATATAATAGGGAAGAATCGTTCCACTTGTCTCCTGCTCATCATATAAGTCAGTCTAGTCAGAAGACTCTGTCCTGCCGAAGGTGTTTGGTGAGAGAAAGTCGCTGTTTCTGTATTTACCCTCAGCAGTGCTGAAGTAGGACACTCCAGGTACCGCGAAAGAACACAAGGGGAAATTACAGAAGAGGACAACGATTTTTTTCTTCCCGGAAAGGTGAGAAATAACGACTCAGTGTGTTTTATGACACAAGTGGTCTATTGTAATTGTAAATAGGATTTTTCTTAATATCAAATAAGCGTAATAATAATAATGATTAAAAAAAATGTCCTAGTCGCATCCCATCAAACACCTCAGGATTCCAGTCCCTGAGATGCGATGCAACTGTGTAGAAATCTGGCTGATTATAACGGAGTCGCTCATATCTACAATAAAGACGATGCTGTTATATGATCATTTACTATGGGATGATATTAGACTCTAAATGATTAATAGATGCACGCACAATTATCCATGTACTGCATACATTTTATACATGTATCTTACTAACCACAAACAAATGCCTTTCAATTTGAGTCTGTGGAATTCGGGATTAAATGATTGTGCAGCGATTTGTACAAATAAAGAGATGTTTGTGAATAAACATGTTCTGTTCTGCATTAATATATCATAAATTGCTAATGCAAAAAGGAATCTATGCATATGTGGATCAGGTGACACGCATGCATTAATTGATGTCTAGTTCGAGTCGATCTTGTTCGGTTCATTTGGATTTTGAGACTTCATTTTCGCAGTTTACAGCATTTCACGACGCTCACACACACAACTACCAACGAACAAGGCCCAGTGCAATTCATTAACGTGTACACGATTTGAAAAAACAAATGAACCGAACAAGATCGACTCGAACTAGACGTCAATTAATGCACGCGTGTCACCTGATCCACATATGCATAGATTCCTTTTTGCATTAGCAATTTATGATATATTAATGCAGAAC